CAACAGGATAATGACCCAAAACACACAGTTAAAAATACCCAAGAATGGCTAAGAGGAAAACATTGGACTATTCTGAAGTGGCCTTCTATGAGCCCTGATCTAAAACCTATTGAACATCTGTGGAAGGAGCTGAAACATGGCGTCTGGAGAAGGCAGCCTTCAAACCTGAGACAACTGGAGCAGTCTGCTCATGAGGAGTGGACCAGAACACCTGCTGAGAGGTGCACAAGTCTCATTGACAGTTACAAAAATCATTTGATTGCAGTGATTGCCTCAAAAGGTTGTGAAACAAAATATTCGGTTTAGGGGTACCATCATTTTTGTCCAGGCCTGTTTCATGAGTTTATTTTTTTAAATAATTCTGTTAAAACACGGGTCAAAAGCAATGTCTGATTTTCATTGGTTAATTTTCATAGAACTTATTTTATTATTACTTTTGTCAGATTCAAGTTATTTTTATGACCGTGGTGGGTTTTTATTTCATTAACCGAGGGATACCAACAATTTTGTCCACGTGTGTAGATCAAATAATCTTTGATTATGAGTGAGCTAAAATATTTTTAAAAATGTTTAAGCTCTCACAACAAGCCCCATCTTTGAGCTCGCATTGAAAAAAATAAAATAAAAATTTTTAAAAAGATAACGCAGAAGTCAAGTAGTGTTATTTTCTGAACTGCATGTGTTTACATGTCAAAATAACATAAAACAGAACATATAGAGTACTTTATATTAGGATATACCTCGTCACAAAAGTGTTAACTGATCGCGCAGATATTTCAAGGCATACCCCAATCATTATCAGAGATAACTTAATTTAATCATATGTCCAATAAGGATTAAGCAGTGTACAGATAATGGATTAGATTGATATGTCCAATATTGCAGATTCTAAATCAATGACATAATGACAAATAACAGTAAGAATCTCAAGCTTTTATCCTAAATAGTTCCAGAGATATTGACAACCTCAAATTTCAACATGTGTAAAAATGTGCTGCAAAAGGGTTGATGGGCTTTTTTTTGTTTGTTTTTCAATTATCACAGAGCCTCGCAGCAAGAAGGGGGCACCGGAATCTTTCTGCGTGGAGTTTGCATGTTCTCCCCATGCAGCATCGGTTCTCTCTGGGTTCTCTGGCTTCCTCCCACAAGGTCCAGAAACATGCTGAGGTTAATTGGTGATTCTAAATTGTCCATAGGTGTGAATGTGAGTGTGCTTGGTTGTCTGTCTCTAAGTTTAGCCCTGTGATAGACTAGTGACCTGTCCAGGGTGTCCCCTGCCTTCACCTTAAGTCGGCCTGGATAGGGTCCAGCCCCCCCGCGACCCTCGTGAGGATTAAGCGGTGTATAGATAATGGATGGATGGAATTATCACGGAAACAATCATATATCAAGCTAAAATATGACCAATACTAGTTCAAATATCCAGAGTTGAAGATAAAAGTTTCTCATGGCGAAACTAGCAAAGTTTGGACGCTGGTTGTTTTATTGTAAATGTCAAGACGAGGCCTTTAATCTTACAAATGGTGGATGAATTCCTGTCAGTAATACAGCACATATTAGTTTTTTAACCAAGTGTGTATGATTCAAATTAGAACGGAAATAATTAATCAATTACTTGATTAGTTAATCAACAGAAACCTAACCAACTAATCAGTCAAACAAAATAGCAAATCACTGCATGCNGCAGGTCTTTGGTGACTGTAGGAAGAAATAATCTTTAATAGGGTCATTGCATCTTAAATCAACACTTCTTCTTTCTGCTCGACCATCTCTGATTTTCCTGAAAATTTTGTAGCATAAAATACAGATATAAATGTACAAATTTTAGCTTGATATAGCAAGAGTTTTATTTATTTTAATTGCCCATTGGTCAACTTACAGCACGTTTTTTTTTCCACACATGAAAATTTAACAAGTGTCTCAAGAACTAATAAAAATAAAGCCTGAAAAGGTTTAGTGTTGTTATCATTCATATCCTGCAATATTGGACAAAGACACACATGAACGAAATTGTTGGTACCCCTCAGTTAATGAAAGAAAAAACCACAACGGTCACAGAAATAACTTGAATCTGACAAAAGTAATAATAAATAAAAAATTCTATGAAAATTAAGCAATGAAAATCAGACATTGCTTTGACTGTGGTTCAACAGAATTTTTCTTTATTTATTTTTTTAATAAATGAAACAGGCCTGGACAAAAATAATGGTACCCCTAGAAAAGACTGAAAATAATGTGACCATAGGGACATCTTCAATCAAGGTGTGTCCTCTTATTAGCATGTGTCTACAGGTGTCTACAAACTTGTAATCAGTCAGTCGGCCTACTTATAAGGTTACAAGTAGTCACTGTGCTGTTTGGTGACATGGTGTGTACCACACTAAACATGGACTAGAGGAAGGACAGAGTTGTCTCAGGAGATTAGAAAGAAAATTATAGACAAGCATGTTACAGGTAAAGGCTGTAAGACCATCTCCAAGCAGCTTGATGTTCCTGTGACTACAGTTGCACATATTATTCAGAAATGTAAGATCCATGGGACTGTAGCAAACCTCCCTGGATGTGGCCGCAGGAGGAAAATTGATGACAAATTGAAGAGACGGACAATACAAATGCTAACAAAAGAGCCCAGAACAACCTCTAAAGACATTAAAGGTGAGCTCCAAGGTCAAGGTACATCAGTGTCAGATCTCACCATCCGTCATTGTTTGAGTCAACGTGGACTTCATGAGAGACGACCAAGGAGGACACCATTGTTCAAAACAAATCATAAAAAAGCTAGACTGGAATTTGCCAAACTGCATGTTGACAAGCCACAAAGCTTCTGGGAGAATGTCCTATGGACAGACGAGACAAAACTGGAACTTTTTGGCAAGGCACATCAGCTCTATGCTCACAGACGCAAAAAGGAAGCATATCAAGAAAAGAACACTGTCCCTACTGTGAAACATGGAAGAGGCTCTGGTATGTTCTGGGGCTGCTTTGCTGCATCTGGCACAGGGTGTCTTGACTCTGTGCAGGGTACAATGAAATCTCAAGACTATCAAGGTGTTCTAGAGAGAAATGTGCTGCCCAGTGTCAGAAAGCTTGGTCTCAGTCACAGGTCATGGGTCTTGCAACAGGATAATGACCCAAAACACACAGTTAAAAATACCCA